CTAATTCGATGATGCCGGCTGGCACACTGATTCACTATGAATGTAGGCCGCACCCCCTAAAGGCAAAAGCTCGTACTACATCCGGTTCGCCCGCTATTGACACAGTCTTGAAACTTTCTGATCGCACCTCGTATAAGTGCTTAAAAATCTCGATGGTGGGACAGAAGTTTCTAAACCTGTGTTCCCCACACTTAAAACATTTTCGTATTCCTTTCAGTATGTCATTCTAATCGGCGAACTGCCTCTGCCGATAATATCGGTATCAGTAAACTTTATAAGTGATCAAAACGTATTGTAATTAAGCTTTATATACGAATAAGTATATATTAAATCTTGTCCGTCTAATCACAATAAATTCTTATTAAATATTAAAATATTACATTAATTAACATTTAAAATATTTAAAATATTAAATGATGTTCTTTATCGAAATATTCGATTTACATTAGACCATCATTTTTCGTGTTTCAGTTCCTAAAAGAACCATCCTCAGGTGTATATTATATCACAATATGACGCAACTTTACCATCTTATTTTGTATACTAACTAACAAAGGCTATGGGAAAATGCGGATGAGTTGTTGAATTGGAGGACAGGAACCGCTTGTGACGGGCTGGCGTGGTATTGGTGAGCTAAGACGGAGATGCGGTTAGGTTAGGTTAGTTTAGGTTGGTTAGGTTAGTTTAGTTTAGGTTAGGTTGGTTAGCTTAGGTTGGGTTAGGTAAGGTTAGCTTAGGTTGGGTTAGGTAAGGTTAGTTTAGGTTAGGTTAGCTTAGGTTGGGTTAGGTTAGGTTAGCTTAGGTTGGGTTAGGTTAGGTTAGTTATGTTAGTTTAGGTTAGGTTAGTTTAGGTTAGGTTGGGTTAGGTTGGTTAGGTTAGGTTGGGTTAGGTAAGGTTAGGTTAGATAATTTCGTTTTTCTTTTGTTAGCATTCAGTGACAACCAGCGCCCAGAATCAGAAGTCAGACTTGTAAGAACTGTGAAGGGATGAATAAGAAATCTGTCGAGCTGGTGGGAAATGCAGAATTAATAATTTGGAGAGCATTGATTCATTATTAGTTGATGTTTTCGAGAAGGCCGATACAAACCTGCAACATTTCGAAGGACGGGGAATTTCCCTAGAAGTTGGCGCGTTTGTTACGGACTTGGGAGTTTTAGGCGACGTTTGAGACCACAGCGCTCCAGAGAGGACTGATCGCCATTTCTGGGGCGAGCCCCATGTAATAAATAGCTTTCTTTACTTCAGAATTTCGCCACAGAATAGGGCTGAATGTTTGCGAACAGGAGCCAGGAATTTATCATGAGGTTAGCGCGTCTTGTGTTGTACAGTGGAATGGAATGTGAGACCAAGGCAGGAAATCTGTGGCCCGCAAAATCTTCGTTCAGGACCACAACGATTAATAATTTGGCGGTTTTCCCCAATGGTAACTGTGGTCCAATGACAGCTATATGTCCCACTTGCTTCAAGATTAAATCATTTTGTGTTCTAGGGTTTGAGTCTTCACTCTAAACAAGTATCAAATCCTTCGACAGCGTTTACCTTTTGATCTTTGTAATAGTGAAGAGTTGTGTTTTCTTTGAGGTAAGGACTGAATTCTTAAGTATTATGTAGATGAGCTTATCCCCCCCCCCCAATTTATAATAGTAGTGCCTATCGCTAGTATCAACCACTTTCTCTCTCGTCTTCTGCTTCAATCAATCAGTCTTGTGACGGTCTTCAGGTGGAGAGGACTTTAAAGCCCGGTCGGGAACATTGACGTCGCCAGTCGAGGGATCTTCTAGAAGCCATGTGGGATCTGTGTAAAGGGAACATAGGACGAAGACAGAACAGCGGAGAAGAAACGGTCGCCAACATACGCCGTGTTCACCCGGGGGTCATCCTCAACCGAAACCTAACGGTGTCAACATAAGCTAAAGGCTGGTGTCCTCCCACACCAGGGAATACGAACCTCGGTTAATGCAGGGGAAAACGTTAGGGGCTTCAACCTCCTGGCAGGTGAGGTGTTGGTGATTACACCACGTGAGTCAGAATGGCGAAACCCAAGGTGGTTAGACTTAACCCGCGGGGAATTAATAGTATTTTAGACTTCTCTGGACCCTCATCCCGAAGAACTAAAACCACATGTAAAACGGATGAAGACAAGCTAATAGATAAATCCACAAAATTGAAAAATCAGGTAAAATATACATTTCGGTCCCCGTTAAGTACTGACTTCGATAGATCGTCGTCAAGAATTTCACAATCTGAAATAATGTCAAGTTGTCAACAGAGTCAAATCCTTGCATCCGTAAACCCCTCAGAACACCTAGAAGGAGCGAGTGCATTGGAAATTTCACCCTTCTGGCACTCAAAATTTAGCTGTAGTGGCTGAGGGCCACTGTACCCAAAGGTGGAACTAAAAGTGACAGGATTAGCGCGCAGAAACCAGCTAACTCTGCAAAAACATCCTATGAACCGTTGAATCTTGATGAAATTTTGGAGGGAGGTGATATTACCTCCAAAAAGAAACAAAAACGAGCAACTCCAAAGCTCAAAATAACCGAAGACCCGATTCACACTGCGTTACCTTCCTATCGCACCTCTGAGACCCTCTGGACACAAGAACAACCACTACCTAAACGCACTAAGAGCGAAAATCCCACCTGTAGTCATTTACCACCACTTCGAATGTGACATGACTAGACTAAATAAGGACTTTTACGCAAAATTCCAGCCCCTGGGCTTCACTACTCACAGAATAAAAGCGGGAATTGCATGTCAAACCTCCACATATAAGGACTAAAGACAGTAAGGTTTAATCTTATCAGATCAAACGATTCCAAGGCTTACGAAGTGGTTATAAAAGGTTTACCACCAACCACTCCTCCAAAAATCATTCAGGATGAACTCGCACGTGGACTGACAGTTCAAACCGTGATCCCAATGACCGCTTGGAGAGACAAAACTCCTCTGTCCATGTACATAGTCGAACTGAACAACGTTCCACAGAGCCACAAGATCTCACAGCTGTGCCATCTCTGCTTCATCAAAATTACTGTGGAACCTTATAAAGAGCAAACCATTTCTTCACGTGGTTACAAACTGTCAGGGCCCTCCGGCCTGTACCCACTGCGCGGAAGAACACTTCTCGTGGTAATGTTAAAAGAGATTCCTTCCAAACTTTGTGCCGACCTTCGCCCTGTGCAAGATCGGGGAGCACGACTCAACCCCCAACGACCAAACCCTCACACCCAGCCGCAGACAAGAGAATTTGTTGAAATTGTTCGGAATTTCAATCCGAAATTCTCATTTCAGTGTCTTCTGAACTCCATATGAGGAATGCTCCTGCAACTCATGTAGCACCCACCCTACCAATAATCTTCAATAACTTCCTAGCCACCCTCTTAGGTCTTCCAAATCATGGGTAGGTCCCTCAGGCACACTGAATTCTTGTTCTGGAACGCCAGAGGCGTCAAGACAAAAAAATAAGAATTATTAAATTATTTATAAACAAATAACATACCCATAGCACTCATTAATAAAACTCATTTACATTCTAATCCGTCAGGGTTTCAAACACTCGGAGATCCCGCTTTCCCCACTCCAACATATGGAAGTCAACATCAACAAGGAAACAATAATATTAATATCTATCTACAACCCCCCGGGCAGAATTATAGAGTGACCTGGACCATCTTTTGGCAACCAGAAACAAAGTAATTCTAGCAGGCGACTTCAACGCCAAGCAAGTAATTTAGAACTCTAGGCAGACACTTCTCAAACATTATTATAAAAGTAATTAGGCACTAAGGACCTTAGGGCTTATTCGTTTTATTACTTATAATTTTTCCTCTTTAGACAGCCTTGTTGTTTTATATAATGCTTTAATTAGATCAAAGCTTGAGTATGCCTCGGTCGTTTGGAATAATCTTACACAGACAGATTCTAATAAATTAGAAAATATTCAAAGAAAATTTGCCAGTTTATGCAATTACCGAATTTTTCCAGTTTAATATCCCCCGAAAATATGAACTGATCCTATCTACTTTAAATTTTAGAACACTTTATTCCAGACGACGACATCTCGATGCGTTATTTCTTATTAATGTATTTAAGGGCAAAATAAATTGCCATTCCATTATGGACGCTGTTGGTTTACGTGTGCCGGCGAGGCAAATAAGAGAATTTTCTACTTTTAGTGTGAGCAGTGCACTAAGGCATAGTCCTTCAGCGAGGTGCGTCATCACTGTTAATGACGTATGTAAATATTTGGACGTATTTAGCATAAACATTGTCTCCCTTGAGCGAACGTTCTCAACAAGGGAAATGATCTAGCTTGGTTATCTGTTTTTTTGAATTTACCTACTAAGCTGATATAGAATCGTATGCTGCTAATAAAATTTTTGGAAATTAACAATAATTGCAAAGGTTCATTACTAACTTGTGACTGAGAGAGGTAAATCTAGCTTTCGTGTCTTCAAATGAAATGTCTGTGAGGGGACAGGCTATTGAAAATGTAAAATCCTGGTAGCAATCGAACTTCGTCGTTGTGTAAATAGATAATATGTTCGTCTCTGTTCTAATATCGTGCATCGCAAAGTACAAAGTACTTAGAGAAAATTTAGAAACCACAAAACGTCGTGCCTCAACTTTGAAGTGAGTCACCTTGACGATAAACGATACATCGACTCGTAGACGAGCTCGTGAACTCATCATATACGCTCCAGTTGGCACGTTCGTTCGCTCGAAAAACTCAGATTGTAGAAAACAAATAATGCAAATAATGTAACTATTGATTCAACGTGCCTGTTTTTGAAAAAGGAAACAAAATTATCAATTCTTTAAACCAATTCGCATTCAATGACAAATACCAAATATTATTAACAATGACAGAATTCAAACGATATATTGAAACAATCGACTGTTCGTTCCTGGCATACTGCATACTTGTTTACACAGCACGACAAAATAGATAACACGATATCTCGAAGTAGAATGGTTTCGGAGCTCTCGATTGTCTGATAACAATATTGCGACGTTAACTTTCGTAGCAATGAGTGGCCTTTGGCGTTGTAGGTGGGACGCTACCGGATGTCTGTAATTTTTGCAGTTCTGTACTTGGACTGCGTACTTAAGTCATGAAGTTTGCGAGGGGCTGGGAGTGTAAAACTGAACCTTACTTTACGTGTGCCACATCATTTGCATAAATGAAATTGACTACAAGAACCGAATGAATTAGATTGAAGTTAACGGAGCTGATTGATGGAAATTTTAATGTAAACACGAATTATTCGCTGTCGGATTTTCTTACGTGGATCGCATGAAGATGTGATGCCCCAAAACGGATATAACTGATCTGACCAGGTACAGGTTTTGTGCAACCGAACTCGGACTTCAGCTAATGAGGTAAAACACATTGTTACTTCAGGATTAATTGTTTGTTTTGGTTCGTTAGGTTAGGTTACGTGACGTTACGTTAGGTTTGGTTAGGTTAGGTTAGGGGAGGTTTGGTTTGGTTACGTTAGGTTAGGTTAGTTTACGTTAGGTTTTGTTAGGTTAGGGAAGGTTTGGTTACGTTAGGTTAGGTTAGGGAAGGTTTGGTTTGGTTACGTTAGGTTAGGTTAGATTACGTTAGGTTTGGTTAGGTTAGGGAAAGTTTGGTTTGGTTACGTTAGGTGAGGGAAGGTTTGGTTTGGTTACGTTAGGTTAGGTTAGGTTAGGTTTGTTTTCAATTTTACTGCAAGCTGTATAGCCTCGTGAGAAGAATCCTGTAATTAAAGAATTGGTAACTAGATATCAAATATTTGCACCGGATGACCATAATTTAAAGATACAGGCACCCAAATACGTAAGAAATGTAATTCATTATTAATATATGATATGGAGAGCAAACTTGTATCTTAAATTCTTATTGGCGTTCTCAGGATGTTAACAAAAGCATCAAACTGAATCCCAAGTTAAATTACTAGCCAATATACCGTGTACTGTGGACTTGAAACTTGAATTTTCTCTAAATTACACATATTTTGTTCGAACCCTATATTTTGTGATTGCAATAATTAGGTCTTCATGTTAGTAAAGGGGCATATTAGGGGCTGACCGCTTTGTTACGCTGTTGGTTTTCTTCAGCAAGAGTTCGCTGTACTTTACTCTGTTCATAAGAAAAGTACGAAAACCTCAGGGCTTCCATTATGAAAATATTTTGTTGCAGAATACGATTGTATAACTTTTGTAACTGTTCGTTTTACGCGGGTATAAAAGAATTGAGCCTTCGTGGTCTGAGGTCATCGTCAGCTCTTTGAACACGTTATGCGACCATTGTCTTCTGTGGACTCGCAGATTTAAACAAACCTTCCGACATCTGGGGGTACGCGAAGACATCTTAGGGGGTACGTGAAATTTAAAAAAAATATGTTATTTTATGATAAACACTGAATAATCAGTAATGTAATTTATTTAATTTATTTTAGATGTAGATTATATACTACGTATAACTTGAATTATACACCAACAACTTTGGGGGTACAAAGTTGAAGAGAAATTATATCTGGGGGTACGAGAAGACATCTTAGGGGGTACGTGAAATTTTCTTTAAAAAATATTATTTTATGATAAACACTGAATAATCAGTAATGTAATTTATTTAATTTATTTTAGATGTAGATTATATACTACGTATAACTTGAATTATACACCAACAACTTTGGGGGTACAAAGTTGAAGAGAAATTATATCTGGGGGTACGCGAAGACATCTTAGGGGGTACGTGAAATTTAAAA